CCGATGCTGCTAGGTTTCGGCGCTTTGTTTCTATGATGGGGCCCACCTCTTAGTACATCGGATTTTTAATGGACAGGGTAGAAGGGTGTCACAAAAACAGGCAGAGACCGGCCGACTCCAGAAACTTCAAGTTTCAACCGCTACCCCTCTGCCAAAGGCACTGGCTGAACATGTGTGCTCCCATTGGAGAGAAGACAACGTGGCCTTTAGGGAGTCAAGGTGCACAAATGCAGATTGAAGTGGGACATGGCAAAAACCTTGGCCACGCTTACCTCAACTATGTAAGTTTTGTCAGTCGAAGCATCCAAGAGTCATCCCCCACCATGTTCAGTCTCACGATCTGTCGACTTGCTTGATTCAAAACTCCGCGCGAAAAACAAAATTGAACAGCACAGAAATGCAATGACGCGCCCACATGAAGGCCTCTCTCAGTTGCTATTCGGAGGGGCTGCCCCCTGCAGAGAAAGAAAGCCCTTTGACGAATGGACTTTCACCACCCTTTAATACGTTCCAAACAGAGTCCCAACCTCAAAACACATCCGTGAGTCAACTGTTCCAAAAAGCCAGAGCCCCTCTAGTTCCACACAAATTGGAACGACGGTTTCTGCGAAAGTAGGCAACACCCGGTGGAAACAGCTCGAAGCAGCATTTTCATATGGCACTGGGAGCACCCTTTCAAGGCGCTTCCTGGATCCGTTTAGTCTCTTAAACAATATGCAAGCGTATGTTTGCATCGGTGTGAGTGCAAGAGCAAAGCTTCCATCCAGACCCTCACATCCAGGATGGAACCCATCACATCTTGGGGAATCTGCGCTGCTTCGGGGTACGCCTCCGGTGTCCCAACTTCCAAGCCCAAGCCCCGGACTTCAAAAAGCTGCCGATGACTCGCTTCAACAGGTACTTGTAGAACCTGGCGGCAGGTTCTGCCAATCAAAACAGGCGAGAAAGAAACATGCCAACCTACTTCCAAAGACACCCGACAGAGTCAGGATATCCGATCAAACTTCCAAAGGGAACCAAAAAACTGGACAGGCATGACGACATCAACAAGATTGTTGCATATGTCAACATTTGCAACTCAGTTCTGGAGACATCCATCAAGGCAGGCCATGCAAGCTCAAACAAGCCGCATCGGAAAACAACAAATACAAAAACAACTAGAAATCCATGTGTGTCAATAACAGCATAAAAATACAACCCTGCAGAAAACACACGAAATGTTGTCATGCCACTCGGCAAAGACTGTCCCGCCGCACGGAAGGGAACTTGGGCGTAACGGGTGGTTTGTCTACGCGTGCAACATCAAGCCAACGTAGGCCACAACACCTACAAGGTTTGCAATTCTGCGATTCGGAACATGCACAACAGGCCCACACGAACCAACTTTGCTTCATCACCACTGCTCAAGAGGAAGTCGACGCGCTTGCTCCAGCTAATTAAGTTGGCTTGGCTTTGTGTGCTCCAGCCAAGCGTTTGTTCTGGCAGCCCTGCCCCGCGTCTCTACCACTGCCTGAAAGCGAGCAGCATTGAGAAGAATATTGAAACTACATCTTCTACTATACTATCTCCCTACATGTCAAAAAATGTCAGCCTTCGGCACGAAGATCCATCCGCAGCTTCTTCCACGCTCACCAAAGTGTCCTACAATATGTTTGGCGCTCCTATTTCAGGGCGTTGTGCTTTTGATTCAGGGCTCTTCCTCAACATGGGGAGGTGTTTAGGCCTAGGCTCCCCGATAGAAAGAGCCTGAACAAGCTGTCAGCTGGCCCAGTGCTCCTGCCCCAGCTGCGCGACTTACATGTGCACACATATACTTATATATTTTCATGTAGATATATTGTGCTTGTGTGTTGTCTATACACGTGCATGCATATGCGTATTTGTCCAGCAATGCCAGCATCTACACATGTCAGCGGTTCATTTGGGTAAGTAGTAAGTAGTGTAAGTAAATGTCTGCGTGGCTTCATGGGCGCAAGGAAGCTTTTGAACAGCTGGCCCGGACCCCCTGCTGAAGCGCGCCTCTTCAACGGCAGGCCCAATGGAAAGGCCATCGACACCTCGGCAATGGCGCAGCTCACCTTTTCTACAAACAGGGTCTCCTCCGATGCGGTGTCTCCGTGGGTTCGTGCTGCCACAACTTGAAAAAGGGAGATGCTGGTGTGATGTCTTTATGAGCGTTGCCCTGTGGCACTGCCGTAAAGTCTGCGCGCCATGCCCCCACGCCTAACCTCAGCAAGTGGCCAAATGAAAGGGTGCCTTGAAGGCGGACCGACGGAACGTCAGGCCCAGCCTTGAACAAAAACTAGCACTTGAATTGTGTTCTGAACATTTTGCGTGGCAAGTACCCGTTGCGAAACTGGTCCCAGCCTCGACTCACAGCCGGCGGAAAATTGCCCATGCAGAGAGTAAAGGAGGGTCGCTGTGCGGCTGGGGATCGGTCGTCTTTCCCGAGTTTGCCTGTGGGGTGCATGAGGTGGTGGAAGGGTTACCTGTCGCATGGCTGGCCCACGTGATGGATCCGGGGGCGGACAGAAAAGCCCCACTTCTGGGCCCGTGAGTGGCTTTTGCTGAGCCAACGCCAAGCGAAACGTCAGAGCAGCGGTATAGGCTCCTCTGCAAGGCATCGGGCATTCACCCCGGACATGTGGCTAGAATCACATACCTTGCCAATGGTCTCCCAGTATGGCTATCATTGAGCACGACTTGCTCAAGTTGCAGAATGCGGGCAGTGTCACACGTGATGGTTCACATCATTGTAAACTATTCATGGCAGTGTGACCTTCTCCAAGCAAATATCTGCTCCTAGAGATTCCCTGAACCGCCACTCTCGAAACAAGCCTCATTAGAAGAAGTGGCACGTTGGTTGCACCGAACTGTTGGTCTCGGGAGAATCTAACTTGCCACCAAGCGCTGTATGATTAGCGTGTGTAAGCATTTGTTTGGCAAACGGGTCTGTCTCATAGTTGTTTCAAGGGTCCTTCATAAGTGGTATGCGCAAACATCCGCGGGCATGACTGGCATCCAATTTGCTCATCGCATTTCTCTTCAACACGCTCGTGGTTGCACGACAGCAGCCTCTCATGTTATGAGCGGCCTCTGACACAAGCGCGCATACCTCCCAAAGCGCACGTGTTACGTTGCTTGTTGCGTTTCTCCGTAGCACTCTGAGTCGATGGGTGAAACATCTGACTCTGCATCAACTTGACGATATGCTCCCACCTCGCACAAAATACCGACAAGAAACAGAATAACAGAGGATGCTATCTGCTCATTGCCAACACGGACCCGCCCGCTTTGACGATTTTGTGATGTTTCTCGGGTACGCCTCTGCTGTCTGTGAATATGAGGCAGCTCCCAAGGCGATGCGGTAAACACAAAAGCAAGCCTGGAAGTTCAGAAACTCGCACACTGAAATGTAGAAATGGATATGTCTCAAAAACACATGCCTGTGCCCTTTTTGGGGGGAGGTGCAAGAGGTTTGGAAAAGACAATCAACAGAATAAAGAGGTACACAAAAATCAGACGCCAATGTGTCCGCAACTCAATACTGGCTAAAGTCCTAAAGGTCATGGATGAACCAAAAGCTTTGGGTAGGGTCTGTGATGAGCTGGGCAAGTTACAGCAGGGCGGGGCCCTCCCTTGGCCCAAGCATGTATGAGCTTCTGGCGATCGAGAAATCTCGCAATCGGTGCGTGGGGACACCCTATGGAGCAAAAGCATAAGCAGTAGTTGCACATTCCCACGCTGGGTTGATAACAGTTGAACCACCTCACTTGCCAAAGAACCTAACCTTTGGGGCCGCGTGTGAGAACAAACCGCATCCAAGGGAAGCAACCGGTGAAACAAATCTGTTGTGGGCCACTCTGGGAGGCTGCATTCCCAGGCACCTCTCAGCACCGCATGCCGATGGACAAAGCCTCGAGAAAACCCAAATGTCCGACCGGCAGTAGCCTTACCCCTCGGCGCCCTGTGGTCAAGAATGGTGCCTTGGTGTCAATCTGGCTGCAGTTCCCTCATTCTAGTCGCAGGCCAATCGCCTTTGATGGCTCAAGTAGTGGCCATGCGGCATTGTATATCCAACTCTGGAGGCTTAAGGCAAGGCAAGCGCAAGGCTCCTGAAAAGGCAAAGGCAGCGTCCTAAACCATGTGCATATGTCAAAATTGCTTTTCTGAATCAGCTGGTGTTCCACGGTGGCAATCAACTTGGTCGTCATGCGCGCTTGAGAACAAAGTCATCCCATTGCGCTTTGCGATGCCTTCAGACTGGCTAATACGTGTATAGCACAAGCATTGCACGGTAGTTGGCCACCAACTGGGATGATTGCTAGGGCTTCGTGAAATGTTGCATGCTGCTGATGTAGCTGCTTGTTGCTGGCCGTCGCCCCTGGCTGATTCTGTCTCTGTAGGGACTGGTACCGCCAACAACGACAAGGGGATGCTGCCTATGGATCCCACGTGCCGCATGCATCGCCGCGATGCATGGCCACTTTTTCCCCGAAGGCAGCACGCCAGAACTCATTGGAGGGGTGATCATTAAATCAGGTCGGCCTAACTTGTCAGCTCCCTGTAGGGAATCACAAAGGGTTTTGAGAATGAACCGGAAGCTCCACTTAAAGGACATCACACGGGATGGTTCATGGGCTTCATTCCTTCAGTCCTTCATTCCCTACCGAGAACCAGAAAGTTAGCTGACATGGGCTGCAACCTACCGGCCCTGCAAGACGGCCATGTTTGCGCCTCCTTGCCATTCTATGTTCTGCTGCATTCACTTTTGCAGCAAAAGCGGATTGGCGTTTCTCACACAAGTCCTTATCAAACTCACAGTATTGCAGTGGGCGAGGATAGACGCAATCTGGTCATTGCGCCCCCTCTTGCAGGGCGTGCGGCGAGCAGCCTCAGGTTCGACGCTTAGAAAACCGTGCTGAACAACCAGTCAGGCCGCACAGGGGCCGCGAGCAAATGGCCTCATGGATTCAGAGCTATCAACAACAACAATACGTGCGTCACCGCTGTGACCGCAGCCTTTGCATCGGGTTGATCACACAAATACCTAACATGGCGGAGATGCTTCGTTTCAGGCAGGCCATCATTTATGCCGGGGCTTGGAATGCTCAGGTGCCTAGAATGATGCAGGCCATGCCCGCGAACTGGGCCTGGGCTGCAAGGCACTCTCCCTCTCTTCAGTCCACGTGGCGTGCTAATTGTGTGCGGGACGGTAAACCAGCGGCTTGAGACTAGACTCCAACTATTCAAGTTTCTTAGCCAGGGCATAACTTGCTAGTTCTCAGTGGGGGAAATGTACATTTCTACTTGCATGCTGCTAGTTCTCCCAGCCCAGCGTGGGAGGAAGCCCCTTTCCTTCTCTGACTGACCGAAACAAGGAAATAATCTCGAGCCTGCAACACTCAAGAGCGGGATGACGGCAAGAGCAGTGTTTGATCTCCTCCCCCTATCTTAATTCTACGCCTATCAATAAAACAAAGACAACAAATCCAAGCAAAATCCAAAACCGACCCCACCCCGAACTACTGTAATATGTTGTTGTTGTTTTTTTTTTTGTTTTTTTTTTTTTTTTATAATTCCTTTTAAACTTTGACATGCCTGTGTTGAGCAGGTGGGACGGCAATGGCCGCCATTCCTACTCGACAGCACTGCGGTGCTTCAGAACTTCATGTTGCCTTCCAAACCATTGAAATGAAGCTGGACTAAGATGTCTTTTTCGAAAGGTTCCTTGTTCTCGAAAGCTTCACTAAGAATTCAAACTGGCGGGTCAAGGGGGTGCTTTAAGCTTTGGGCACTGCTGGGTCTGAAACAGACTCAGAGGCAGACCGTGCAGGCTGACGCGAACCACCTCAGCTGCGATCTCTCCTGCGAGCGAAGTGACGGTGGCAAATGCACTAGTCTGCGATACATGCGCTTGCGCCCGCTTGCGATATATACGCAAAGTATACGTAAAGTCTCGTCACGACAGCATTCAACATCGAAGCAATCAACCTCCTGCTGACATTTGTCCGTTGGGTCCGACACTGGACCCGAAAAAGCTTGCAATAGCTGAGCTGCTTCAATGGCGTGCAGCAATTACATCCCAATCACAGGGGCCATTTCACCTGGCATGCCTCGACCCAAACGTGGTTTGAAGAGCTGCTGAGGTCTCTAGCAGCTGATGTCATCATAAGTTCGGTCAACCATCTCTTGCCTTCAGCTGTAACTAGGCGTCCCGAGCAAACAAAACAAGCAACACTGATTTCACGACCTCTGCGTGTGTCACCACAAGGTCAGCTTGTGCTCTTTTGATGCCTATACAATTCAAGCATTGCTGCAACATGCAATACTACTGCCAGCAGCAGCAGCAGCAGCACATTCACAATGCGCAGCGGCGCATCTGTCCTGAATCTCTTTGAAGTAGAAGACAGAGACCAGCTGTGACACCAAGACAGGGCCTCAGGCTAGCGACACAGGGTGTCACTGGATTAGATAGCCTGATGGCTTTCCAACCTGGAAGGAGAGAATCCCAACAAGTCAAGTAACTGGTTTCCTTGCAACTCGGCTTCTTGCATGCCCACATAATTTGTGCGCACATTCCGGTCGGTGCACTTGCGGCTCTTGTAGCCAAACTGGAAGCTCCTGATTCACTGTGATTGAAGGCTATATTGATCTATCATCTCAGCTATTTATCTACCTATCAAGCTGTCTGTCTATCTATCTATCCTTCCACCTATCTACCTACGCATGTGTCTCCCAACAGCAAAGTGGACGTTCATTTGTCGTTACTTTGGGGCAGATCGAGAAGGGCCAACTACAAGTGGTTTAAGCTGGGCGTGCAGTCAAGTATCTTGAGCTTGGCAATCGGCCAATCTATGCAGATTTCCAAGGATAAACAGGTGTCAAGTCAGAGGGAGGTTGAAGGCTTTGCAGCCCGACGCTGAGAGCACATGTTGCTCTCTCGATTTGATTTGGTTGAGGCCAGTGTTCCTTGGTACGGCCCCTTCCTTGACGACTCAGCCGACGTATTGAAACCCTGATCCGCACGGTAAGGCTCATGAAAATAGGTATCAAATTTGAAGTGCTAGAAATCGACAGCCCGAAAACGGCCATGTTGGTAACCATATTGCATCCTTCACCTCGCTGTCGCACATCCTGACAGGAAGCCCCTTCGAAAGGGACACCGCATTCCAGGGGTAACCGATGGTCGCAGTCCAAACATGCACGCCTTCACGCCTTTCACTTATGTTCCCAACATGGGACAGGGTGGCCTTTGTCAAGCCGACGCTCAACGACCTTAGCTGCCGGCCAATGGTGCTTAGCACCCAAGTGGCCGTGTAGCCGATGTCATCCAGCCTTGTGCGGGAGGGCGCTACAGGTCAACGCACTCGAATGAATGGAAGCAATGCAAGGAACATGTTCTTCATACTTCCACTTGAGAGCACAATATTTTCAGTTGAACTGCGTCATAGGACACTTAACACAAAGAATGGCGCATACCGGAGCCCCTAAGATTATGCGCTGTTTCCTTTCAGAGATGTCCAGTAGTTGAAGGGGGCAGGTGCCGTTCATAGCCATCCTGAAACTTCAGCTCCTGGCGACTGCGCAAAGCAAGCGAAGCCCAAGGCCCACAGACCTCAGCAGTTCACGTGGGGCCCCGGTGTGGAGAACAAACAGGGCAGAACTTGCTACACAAGCCCAGGTTGCTGCAGCGCATTTCAGATCTTAACCTAAAGCTTGCCTTTTGCACTCCTGCCTCCTGCTGGTTTCCTAGCTGCTTTTCAGGCACGTCTCATTCCCTTGTTGAATTCTGAAGTTGTCTGTCTTGTCTCGTCTCGTCTCGCCTCATCATGCCTCCCCACCTGCCCGATGTCAAAGGCCCGGGCAACCAGAGAGGAAGGCCGGCCGAATGTTTGGCTTCGAGGGCGAGCGCAGGTGCAAGACCTGCTTGGCCAGGGAGATGGGGTCAGTTTTCAAGATATTGGGTCAACAATTGTGGTACAATTTGTAGTTTGTTAGTTTGGGCAGGAGGGCGGTTGGATGGTAGGGCCCGTTCCAAGAAATTGGAGCAACATAAAGGTTCTCGTGCTTCCGGAACCTCCGGCCAATTACAAGCTACGGAGCCTGGTTCGTCTGCTGGTGCATCGTAGGAGTGGCTGATAGCAGCCTAGGCCCTAGAACACACAAACATCTGACGGTGTCCCATGCCTGGCGGCAGCAACTTGATCGAATAAGTTTCGGCCGAAGCAGCCCCAGGATAAGGAGGAACCAACAGGAGCCTACAAGGCCGTCAGCTTAGAAGTAGAGCTTGTTGGTGCAGAAGCTGCGACATGAGGTTACCCCTCTTCTAAACAAGCCAAACTCATAGCCCCCAGCCGAACCAGACTTTGAAAAGGGAAGGAAGTACAACGCCTCTGTCCCATGTGGATCTTGTCACGATTGTTTTTTGAGCGCAGCTTGGACAAGTTTCCCTCGAAGTGTAAAGCAAGGTGCGAAGCTCGCACTGGCAACCGGCACTCAGGATTTTCCACTCACACAACAAGCCGAAAGATCAAAGCTGTACAAATGTCCATGCAATCTAATGACCCTAAATGCTCCTGTGGCTTGCTGCTGGTTCTGCTGTGTTTGGCTAATGCCACCACATGCCTTTGGCATCGTGCAGACCGGATGTGCCTTCGGGGCCGTGGCTCATGTGTCCATGACCGCTTTTGTCTCGGGCCGGCTTGCAGGTCGAACCATGCTGCAACTGCTCTGGTGATGGTTCAGGTCAATGCATCGAGGGGGGCGTTCACACTCGTTATTTTTATTCTTGACCTGAACTGCCTTCTGCTTCCACTTCTCGAGCCACCTGTGCCCGACGTTTCGCGTTCTGCTCGTCCTTCAGGCTGGTGTCAGCCTTCTTGACTTGATGCCGTCTCTGACGTTCGGCCTTCTTCTTTTCCTTCAGTTTCTGATTCGCTGCCGTTTGCACTAACGACATTGTTCCAGTCCGAAGAAACTCCCGCAGAGTCTCTTTCTCTGCGTTGGCCTTCGTCAGTACATTTGCTATGTTCTGCATGCCGTCAATCCAACGAACTGAAGAGCCTGGCTTCCGAACTGTTTCTCGCAGTAGAGCGCCCTCTATAGCCATCCTCTTGTCTGAGGATGTACTCGTAGCGTCCTTCTGCAAGTAATCGAAAATCGACTTTGCGTCAGTGACATAGACCCGCTGCCGCTTTTCTATGACACTGCTCCAGTTACGAAGATCTATGTTTCCGTTCAAGGCTTCTTCCAAAAGTGCCGTCACCCAGTCTCCAGCTTCCACCGCCTCTGCTAAGTGACTTGACTCTGCCGCAAGTGTGCTTCTACAAACTCGCTTTGTTTGCCCAGAATGAAAACAAATGATGTTGCTCCGTGCTTCCTGATCCTGCAGTATCTCCGGGTTTGCAAGCATAATGAAATAGCCTCCAACACTCCTGTACCGCAAAATGTCATCCTTCTCCGGTGTGCCATTGGCGTGGCCGGAATCGGCCAAGTGCAAAACCACCGCTCGCTGCAAATCCACGTCTGCCCAAAACCTCAGTTTAAAGTCTGCACCGCGACGCGCCTGTCCCACAAACTGCCTGAGCTTGACCAAGTCTGCAACACAAGCGTTCTTCTTGCACCTTTGTATGCAGCCGTTCTCGTACGCCAAATCACAACGAAGTTGTCTTGCTATCCACCCTAACTCGCCTGCACTGCTTTCCAACTGCTCCCTCTCCTGCTCTGTGAGATCTGCTTCCAGTTGCCTCCGCCGCACTGCATCTACCTTGACCGCCTTCATGGATAAGGCGCAGTTCTTCATGGAGATGTCAATGTGACCCTCTTCAACTTGCTTCACCTCCCGCCCACGAAAGATGAAATCCTTGAAGTGGTTCGTAGCGAATTCCAAAGCCTTTGAAGCGTTCTGAAAAGCTGTTTCCACGTAGTTAGGATGCACACCGCCTTCAATGTCATCGACGTGCGTTACCAATATCCCCAACAACTTCCCCACTCGCTCGCCTTTCACACAGTCGCGCAAATAGAAAAGTGCTGGTTCCAGTTTACTCTCACGCCAGCCATCCTCCTCCAACTTCTCCTTCAAAGCCAACCAGAATAAACGAGCTGCTTCCGCAAAACCATAAATGGCCTTCCGCGCCCGTAAAAGCTGACCCTTACAGAGTCCGGGGAGTCCACTCCGTGGGGGCTCCAAGTAAATCTCGCGATTCACTGACTTCCCACTGAAGTAGGCATTCTTGATGTCCTTGGCCAGCAAGACAAACCCATGGTACGCCGTGACTGCTAGGCACATGCTCTCTGCTATTGCTGATGCTGTAGGAGCGTCACGCCTGTAATGTCCAAGTGCTTTGTCCTTAAAGCCCTGCACCACCAAGCGTGATTTTGCCAGGAAATCCTTATCCACCAAACCGTCGTTCTTGTTTGTCCGAACCCATCTTGTAGGAATAATGAGGTCGGCCTTATTCTTCCGGATCTCCATGCTGGTCTGGTAGTCCAACACTTCGCAAGCTTCTTTCTGCATCCAGGCATTCCATTCCCGCTCATCCGATCCACCTGGACTCGTGAACATCTCTTGCTGCTCCTTCCTCAGCTCAGCCAGTCTCAGCTCTTTGCGACCCTTCTTCTTTGTCTTGGCCCCACCAGTCTTCTGCGCCTGGTAACCGTGCTCGGCCAAAACCTGATACCGATCGTCAAAGACATTCCGTTTGAAACCGAATAGGAACTGCTCCGGGGACACCTCCAGCTGTGCGAAACCATACTCATGCTGCTTGTAGTATTCCATGGCTCGTCTCCGCAAGAAGTGTTTGTTCTCCACGGCCAGTTAGACAAAGGACGCTTGATTCTCGTTCAGCATCAGCGCTGACTCATCAATCTCCTCCGTCACTCGCAGTCGCTTTGTTTCCCGCTCTGCAGCTTCTGTCTCGGATCCTTCACGCACCGGTGAAAGTTCACGCCTTGGCTGAGTGTGGTAGTCGTCGAGGTCGGGATCGTACTCTGGTCCAGCAGGGATGCGTTCTGGTGCTGGTGCGCTCGCTTGAGCTTGATCTCGTCCTCGCTGGTACGCTACCTTCTTCCTCGCTTGCGCCTCCTTTCTCTCAAGATCCCTCTTCTTGACGAAATCGCTGGACTTAAGAGCTCGACGTTGGTCACGTTCTGATTCCAGCTGCATCCTCGCCATAGAGGTTGAACTTGAGCTGAGAGCCTCATCGGCACTCGGCTTATCTGCCACCGCCGGTGGTGGAGGTAGCTCTGGATCTGGCATCTCCTCATCTGGCTTCTCAACTTCTTCCCGCATTCTGCTCGCTCCTCTCCATCACTTCCGACCGCTTCTGGGACCGGCGCCTTCCGAAGGTCGATGAATCCTGTCCCGCCTGCTGCTGGCGTGGCATCGATCAAGTCCTGCTCGTGTCCAACTACCATCCACTGCTTGACCTCCTCATCGTAGGCCCTGCTCAAGTGTTCTGGACTGACTGCCAGAAGGATACCTCTGCGCGAAATCCAGATGGTGTGCGAACCCTCCTTGCCGATGACCCTTGCTACTCCTCTCCAGCAGTTTGGACCTGGCTTGCGGTCCGATGCGTCGAAGTAGAACACATAGGTGCCGATAGGGAAGGGACCTCTGCTTGGTCTAATCTTCCGAAGCTCTGCTCGCCGTAAGGCTGAGTCGTTTGCCATCCTCGCGAAGACCTCCCGTGCTGCAAACCGAATCTGGTTCTTCCGGTAAAAGGTGCTCTCCGGGGTTTCCGCCAAAGCTTGAGCTCCAATCCTTGCCACTTCTCCTTCATCTGACAGTGCTGCTGGCAATCTAATCTCTCTGCCGATGACCCACTGCTGAGGCAAGAAACCGCCTTTCCGCGACATGGAGTTCTTCGCCTGATTCGTGGCCGACGTTGCCATCAACAACTCCTTTCTCCCACTCACCTGCTGCGACCAGATCAGCTTCTGCATTGTCTTCTTCCACAAATCGCAGTGGAGCTCGATCTGACCTAGCTGCCAAGGTGATGCTCGAGCTGCTGCCTCGAAGTAGCAACCATGTGCTGCCATGTCCTCCGCAAAATCCGCCAGAACGTACTTCGCTCTGTCTGTGAGGACACCATGCTCCGGGTAGCCCGCCCAGGTCAGCCAGTGTGAAGTAAAGATTTCCAAAACATGACTGCTCGTGGGATTCATGTGTACCTCTCCCAACAGGGCGCAAACTTGAAACGTCGTTCCCTGGCACAAGATGTTGAGCCAGGACCAAGTGCTACCTCCAGTCCTTCACATAAAGCACGTCCAGTCCAATCTGTACGTTGAAATCGCTGGAGATTGGCAACTTGCTTGGTCGTGGTTGCTGTGGTCGCTGATGTAGCCGTGGGCAATCCGGACATCGGAACAACCGACAGGCCTTGATGGCCGCCTCTGAAGCTCTAGATATCCTCAGCGCGCGCAAAAGAGCTGCTTGATCTGGATGTCCTAGATTCACGCGCACCCGCTTCACTGCCAATTTCAACTCCCGTGGCAAAGCTTGCCATTTACGCTCTCGATCTGCTTCACGATCTCGAAACCGATCGTCATCCGGCTCCTCAACCACCCCTGCTCCGAGCTCTTTGCCGTAGGTCACAAGGTATAGCTTCCTCTCCTTCGCAACCAGTGGCCTTATCTGTGACGACGGGGCCATAGTCCCGCACTCTTCCCAGCCTGTGTTGAGAACCTTCCCGTCAGCCAAGAGTAGAAAACTCTTCCGAACTGGTACTTCTTGGGGGCCAGCATGTGGCTGAGGTTTCCGCATCCTTCGTGCCCTTGTTGAACTCAGAATCAAAGTGACCTCGGCATTCGCTGACTCCATAGCTACCCACTCTTTGCCGATATCACTCTTGCACCATTCACCGCCTTGTTCCTCCACCAACTCCCTAGTCCTCTCTAGCAGATTCGCCAACTCCTCTGAATTTGATTCCAGCCAGAAACCTCGTTGAAGTTGCCGAATCCGTGGCCGTCGTTGTAGCTGTCGTCTGCTTCGTGCTGGTGGTGGTTCTTGAGTTTCTTCTTCTCGTTGCTGTGGCGGTGCCTCTAAAGGTACTAGCTCTCTCTCCTCAACCTCTTCTTGGGCTGGTTCACGCCTCAAACGAAACTCCGTGGTGCCCGTCCACTGGAAATCTTGCCGTTCTGCTGGTCGCTCAGATTGCCAGTCGTCCTCATGGCGCACCACTGCACCATCCCCTCGCCGCATGACCGTTCGCCTCCCGGGGAGTATCCTCTCGAAAGGCACAGGTGGGTCGTGGCTAGGTGCTGGGACGTAGAGGTTCTGCCGAGGTACTCGATGTTGACGTACGAGTCGATCTCCATCAAGGCTCCAGAGATCCCTCCAAAGCTCTTGCAGCTTCGGCACGCTCTCGAGCTCCTCAGTCTCCCCTTCCACAACGGGGTATGCCTCCTCGAAGTCAACCATCGCTGCCGCATAGTCTAACTCCATCTGCTTCTTCAAACCTCTGCAAATGCTTCGACAAAGGTCCCGGGGAGAAGCTGCTGCTTGCTTTGACCTGCTGCCGAAGACATTGCTCCCCAGTGTCAATTGGTGTGTCCCCCAGGCACACTTGCATTTCTTGCCCAGGTAGTTGAGGATCACCTCGCTGTTGCTGAGCCATCCCGTAGACTTCTTGATCGCCTTCCCTGACTCCATGTCCTTGAGGCCGAATGCGCACTGGTCGCCTATGACGAATTTCCCGCCGTACCTCTCCAAGAGCTTGGCTAAGATGCCGTCGAACACCCAGGCCGCTGAACCTGCTGGGTTCTCCAAAAGGTAGTACCTGCCGCGTTGGTGCCGATGTCGACAGATGCCAGCCACCAATTTCAGCGTGGCTCGGCCGAGGGTTTCGCGCAATTCTTCCCAGTCCTGGTGCGGGTTCATGTTCGTCAGCAAAGACCACATGCGACAGTCGAAAGCCACCAATGTCAGCACCGGGTCGTGCTGGTCCAACACGTTCATAATGAGCTTTCGACCTGCCGTTGAAAATAGGTCGTAACCGTCGATCAAGTCCAAAGGTTGGCTGCATGTCCAGCCGTGCTCAGCTGCTGCCAACTGTGTGACCTTGAAGCTGCCGGCGAAGGGCTCGAAGATCACGGTCGAGCTGAAGTCCTTGGTGGCCAGCTGTTCCGCCATGCTGTAGTTCTGCTTCAAGGCAATCCACGTTCTTTGGTCTTGCAGGCGAACTTGGTAGGCCGCCTTCTCCAGCTCCTTGTGACGCCTCTCTGACAAAATGCCGCTGACGTCCTTGACACGCAAACCTCTCGCTCGCGTGTCCGGCGTTGGCTGCTGCTTGATGTCGTCCATCTCGTACCTCTCCATCTGCTCTCCGGCCAGGATGGAGTAGCTCGCCTCCTCGCAGTAATACACCAGCAGGTCCTCCTTCTCGGAAATGAACCTTGGTCTGGTGTTTGTCGTAGTTCCACCTTCACTCTGGTACTTTGGGTTGTAGGCAACCTCGATAGCCAGGTGCTTGGTCCGCGTGATGATCATGTCCACCAGCTCTTGGATCTTCACCTTCCTGTCCTTCACAAACAGCACCATGTTGAGTGAAGCCATTGCCGCAATGGAATGTAGAAGTGGCGTGTTGCCATTCTCGATCTCCGCCGAAAAGACCTCCCCGCGTTGACCCTTCAGGAAGATGGGCACCTTCCAAACCACCGCTTGCTCCTCGGTACTGCTGCCATTCGCGAAGTGAAAACTCTTCAACTGCATAGTCGGCGTGCATTGCAGCCCTTCCGGAAGACTCTTCTCGTAGGCCTCCCTCCAACGCCGTGAATGCATACATGCCGTGCAAGCGGTGTCCAGCAAGCATAGTCTAGACTCATCCGCTTCGCCATTCTCGCTTTCGACTAGTTGATGGGGTCCTGAATTCTTGTAATCGTCAACAGTGCTCGGCTGCTGCTCCTGCGCATTGGGCTCCTCTGAATTCTCGCCATGCAAAACCTCCGCCTTGGCCATGTAGACCTTGCCGAAGGGTGAAAACGCTCTTCTCCGATCCTCCTCATAGCTGCCCAGAACGGGCAACTCCCCCACTTCGGGCATTCCTGAACTGCCGCAAGCCGTCGTCGAAGGTCCTGACGCTCTTGCAGTTGTGTGTGGGGAACCGGGAGCAACCGAAGAATAGGCCTGAGTCCAAACGGTTACGACGCAGGACCATAGGATGTTGACAATCCAGGCAAAGAACTGCGGTGCATGTCTTGCCGGCCTCCATCTCCAAGGGGACCTCGATGCCGGCCGTGCCAGTAGTAGCTGTCTCCTCCTTGACATAGCTTCGAAAAGTACCGCTGGTCTTCTGGTTCGCGGAACTTCGAAAAGTACCGCTAGTCTTCTGGTCCGTAGTCTTCGTGACGCTGGAACTGCCTTTGCTGCTGTAGCCGCTGCCTGCCGCCTCGCTGTGTTCTGCCTTCTTCGATGGAACTTGTGGTAGATCACGTCCGCCAATCTTCTCCTCTCTCAGCCGCACATACTTCTTGCTGTAGCCTTTTCTCAAGATTGGCTCGCCGTTGAGTTCATCAACCTGCCATAGATCTCGCCTTTGGTGCCACTCACTGCAATGCCCCACTGATCACATTCTTGTTGTAGCTGTCGAACCGTCATCTTATCTAGGTCCGTGAGCTTCACTGAGTCAAAGCTGGGCACGATGAGGTTCGTGACACTTGCTCCGATCACCTTCACCAACAATTCCTCGCGCTCAACTGCTGAAGCTGTGGTAGTAGGCCATGGGGTCGATGTGGCAGTAGGTTTGCCGTAGTAGCTGTTGTCGCAATCAAGTGTAGAGCTGACCAACCCCCACTCTGACTCGTCGTCCACCTCCCGGATGACCTTCTTGCGTCGTCGATCCAACTCCGTCAGACCTGAGTCCTGCTGCATCTCGTTCTCCTCGTCCTTGTCCACGACTCCAACCATGTTGCAGTAGGCCTCGACATCCTGGTCCACGTCCTCCAAGGTGAAATAGAGAGGGGTGTCCGCCACGAAGTAGGACTTGCTCTGCTTCCCTTTTCCTTTGTGTCCACGGCCGGATCCCTTCTTGCCACCATCGAACTTCCTGGGACCGGACTTGGTGCTTTTGCTACACGCACCATCGCCTGCCCAGTGACCAATCTTCCCACATGCCGCGCACCTCGTTCTCGATTTCTCCTTCTGCACTGCCAGCTTTCTCTCCTCGAGGGTGAGCTCGCCCTTGAAAAAGCCTCTGGACTTCTGAATCTCCTTCAGCTTCTTCCTGCTCTCGCGATAGCCCCTCCTCTGCTTGTCCATCGTGGCGTAGGCCTCGTAGATCTCGCCGTCCTCCGATGCACCTTGATCTGATTGCTCAGGATCTTCTTGGACTTCTTCTCCATCTTCTGCCACATAGGCCTGATCCTGATCATACTCCTCGTCCGTGCCATCGACAGCATCCGAGTGGTACTCCTCCTGCTGCTGCTCGTCCTCTCCGACCAAATTGGCGTGGTACCGCTTCTGACCGAAGCCTTTCCCACCTTTCTTCTGATGCCAGTTCGGCTGCTTCTGATTCCAGTCACCTCGGGGCTTCTCTCTCTCGTGGATGTCGTAGTACGACACTCGCAACGCTTTCTCGATGCCCTCCATGGTGTAGCTGGATTGATTGGCCAGAAGGATCTGTCTCCTGTCATCTCTGCTGAGATTGATGTGCTTCAGCAGGAAATAGGCCCGCAAATCTTCGCTCATCTGGGTTCCTTCGCTGAGGTCAACCAGCTCGTCCCAGTCTTGTCGTTGCTGCCGGAGGTAGGCATCAATGGGTTGCCCACGTTTCCGGAAACTGGCCTCGAAGTACTTGTCGAAAGCCTCTGTCTTCTTAATCACGCCAACCTTCTCAATAGACTGCAGGGCCTCGAAGATGTACTGGTAGCCGTCCTTGGACTTGAGCTTCTCCGTCTCCGTGAGAAGACCTTCGCAAGCCTTCCATGCTTCTCCATGCAGTGCGTCCAGGAGCTTCTTGGCGAATCGGCTTTGCTTCTTTGCTAGATCTCGTGCTTCTTTCTCAGCATCATCTCCATCTCCTTCCAGGTTGCTGTATGCGAACAAAACTCTTCGCCTGTATTCCCTCATCTGTGATGGAAACTTGCCGGTGAAGTGGGGAATACCATCTCTATCCACCACAATCTCTTCGTCTCTCCAGAACTGAGAGCGCTCGGCAGCCATGGCAACCTGCTCCGCTACCAGTGCGAAGCTCGCACTGGCAACCGGCACTCAGGATTTTCCACTCACACAACAAGCCGAAAGATCAAAGCTGTACAAATGTCCATGCAATCTAATGACCCTAAATGCTCCTGTGGCTTGCTGCTGGTTCTGCTGTGTTTGGCTAATGCCACCGCATGCCTTTGGCATCGTGCAGACCGGATGTGCCTTCGGGGCCGTGGCTCATGTGTCCATGACCGCTTTTGTCTCGGGCCGGCTTGCAGGTCGAACCATGCTGCAACTGCTCTGGTGATGGTTCAGGTCAATGCATCGAGGGGGGCGTTCACACAAGGCAATAACAAGCAAACTAAGAGTGCTCATTCATCGTGTCGAATTGCAAGACCGGACATAAAACAGTTTGCTTGCCAGCACCCTTGGCAAAGGGTGCCCTCTACTAGTCACATGATGTCACATCTTAGGTGAAGGGCACCCCCGCCGACCGAAAGTCATGCCGCAAGTGGGCTGCAGCTTTTCCAGCAGCAGGCCTTCGGTGGGGCCTTCTACCCGCCGTCGCATTAAAGCTACGGGCCCCTCTCTCCATTTGGGGAGTGCAGGCAGGCCCACCCTCGCCTTCTTGCAGGAGGTGTAGCCCAAGTAAATTACCGTGGAGGAGGCCCAGACCTGCGGTGGCATTGGGCCCTGCCACTTGGGCAACTTGGGCGACTTTGGCATGGACTCAGTTGCAACTACAGCCTAAAATTCCCTCGCTAGCAGTTGTGCCTATGGACTTTTGGACTGAATCCGGTACGGATAGGGTGAGGGTGTCCAAGATGAATTTTTGGGCATAGATGACTAGATGTGAGCCTAGACAGTCCAGTTTGGGTAGGTCTTATGCCGCCGAGTGTTGGGTGGGAAGAGGCGGGGTCTAGGTGATCTTAGAGTGCAGGATTGTTAAATTGTTTGGGGTTGTTTTCGGATTTGATTGAGGCAGGGTTGTATTTTGTAGGGAGGTTTAGGACGGGTGTCAGGTAAGGGGATTGAATTTAGAGCGGTGTGGTCAACCAAAGCGGTGTGGGCAGGCCATGGCTGGACCAAACTTGCGCTTAGCCTCCCCAAATCCAGGCAAAGGGCTACTGCCCTGTACCTATGAGGGTGCACCATTAACGTCTTTCTGGCTACATGCCAGGGCGCATGAAACAAAACAAAAGCACAACATGCACACACACATGCACATGTCGTGCATATATATGTATATATCTTAGTTATTTATTTATATGCATACTTGGTTGTATGTAGTTGCGTTTTATGTGGGAGGTGGGAAGGGTGCTTTATATAGTTTGGGGCGTTAGTATGGGAGTTCAAATGGCATGAGAACATTCTCTGCTACACTTCTTGGTTGAGGGATATGCTGATGCATAATCCGAACATGTCTGAACCTTTCTGAGCGCGTGGCCCCCAATGCCATTGGGAAGACGAAGCACGCCAACTGCAGACAGGCTGCATAGGAACGGCTGGTGGAAGCTGCTACTTCACTGCAAGATCTTGTCAACATCTCAATGCCTACTGGGCCCTACATCACTGGTTGAACGACATCAGAAGGCTCTGTGCAGGTATGCTCAGGGCAAGGGAAACTTTCAACTCCAGTCAAAGACCTTGACGGTGTCATTGCCAAGGGCCAAACACCACGCACAAAATATCATTCTAGACGCAAGCACCAGTAGAGCCAACTACAAACCCACTGCCTCAAGCTGCATGCCGCGAGAAACAAGCAGCTGGCACTTTGTGCTGGCTTGGCTGGCTGTGGGTGAAGCATGGGGCAATGAGAGCCTTCCACAGAAACGGTGCGCATGCCCATGCTCCAAACACAGAGCAAAATACGGTCAAATGCCCAAGACATTTCTTGCTCCACCCCGTCTTGCCTTGGTGCTGGGGTGCTGCCGGTGCCACATGGCGAATGGCCTTGTCAAAGCTTCCGTCAGTCCAGCAGTTCCAAGACAGAATGCTCGGTTTCCAGTGGGAGCGTGCTCCTCTAGCACAACTAATAATGAGTTGGCTGGATCCCCTTCAATCTGCCGCAGCAGGGCTTCAAAGTAAGAAACCATGCATATGGTCTCTCTGAGGAGGTCTGGTCCACAAACCAAACATCTATTATCATAGGAAACTAGCGATATCTCCCAGGGCTGCAAGATGACCGACTTATGCGGCAACTGGAACTGGGAAAGTTACTGTAGCAATCAGTACCCGATAAGTCAGTGAAGGTTCACAAGAATACGCATCAAGAGCCCCCAACATTTCCACCATGTCAATTGAACTGCGAACAATTGAGCGATGATTCCCTGGATCTGCGCCACTAGGCGGCAAAATAGGTTCAAGCGCGACATGCTGAATCAAGGCCCGGCATGCTGGATAGGACCCAAAGCACGGCACAACAAAACGAACCCTCAGGTCATGTGCATGATTACACTTTCTGCGTAAGAGCCTCCAGTTTGCTCAGCCTTTCTCAATGGGCACATGGTCTTCGACGCCCCCCCCCCCCTCACCCCAACCCCGGACCCTTCGACCCTCTTACCCCTCTCGACCCTTCGGGCCACTGTGGCCCTGGGCACTGGATTCATGCCGCGACCTCGGCACTGAACAAACAAAAAACCATAGGCAGCTGGCTATTGGAAAGCCAGACCCCAAGCGGGTGGTTTGGCTTGGTGGTTTTGACGAGGGCCCCTAAGTTGCTGTCCCCAAACAACTCAGACCACGTGGCCAGCAAGCATGGCAGAGGGGGCAGGGAAGAAACCTCAAATATGTGTCCATCTGTTCATAGTTTGAGATGTGACTCAAAATGCGCCAGAAAAGCCTAGCACCAAACAATGCAAGTTGAAGGCACACATTTGAAGCAAAAACAACGGTGCAATCACAACGCCGGAGGCGCATCGGATTCGAAGAAAACCTCTGGACTTGATGCTGCAAGCCTCCCCGTCAAGCCGAAAGCCTGGAGCAACAAAGGCGCCTTCCACTGAAACACTCACAGCAGGAAATTGAAACGGTTTCATAGTAGAAGAGCTGCTGGCCACAAT